TCATTTGTGAAGTAGGATGTACACAAGGTCGACAGTTCAACCTCACATTGGGTGAGAGCAGTCCATGTACCAGAAACACCTGAATTCCACTAGTGTCATGTCATGATTCAGGATTTTAAATTCTGGAAATTGTTGTTGATTTTTTAATTCAGCTGTCCATTCTTGGCTGTGTATATATGGCTTCATCTTAACATCCCGTTCTTCTCCACATCCCTCTGTCAAATGCCAGAAAACGAGTGTGGTTATGGCTTTATCAAAAGGCATCTTCTGAGGCCAGGACAATATGGCACCATCCCTGAAGTGGCCTTCGCAATTTGGAAAAGGTACAGTGCCCTTTTCTTCGAAGGCAGCTGAATAGGCAGTGGGCCGATGGCTTCTGATGTGCAATGGAACAGCAGCTGAAACAGTTATTCTTGAAGAATAACTAAGCTCACGCCTCGCAATAGTAATCTAGCTGCTTCTATATAAGGAGAAGCCTTTGCCTGGAGCTGTGGAGCTTGTCTACTGTACTGAGTTAGGAGAGGAAGCAGAGGAAGCTTACACATGATTCTCTTGAATGATATTTAACAGAATGAGAGGGCCTCAAGGTCTTGACTGGGCCTAGAAGCTGAGACGGAGAGCATTCGACAGAAGCAGTACACTGTGTGGAGTTTTAAACATTAAATGTGATGGGATTTTAAAGAGGAGGGTCTTTCTTTAGACCCCAGACAGGAGCTTCATTAAGAATGAGAAGGATGGAGAAGAGAGAGAGATAGAGACAGAGACAGAGACACAGAGACAAAAAGAGACAGAGAGAGAGAAACATGCTGCAGAGTGTAGCCAGATAAATCTTTCCTACCCGCTGGTACCCGAATAACCAGTCAGAGCCTTAATATTAATTGCAAACTGTTTGGTCTATGGCTCAGGATTCTTGTTAGCTAGTCTTTTTTTTTTCATCTTATTAACCAATTTCTATTAATCTATGTTTTGCCACATGGCCATAGCATTAGGGGTCCTTTGACATGTTGCTCCTTGGGCCTCAGGCTGGTGTCTGCTCTGACTCTGCCTACTCCCTGTATTTCTCTTGGATTTCCTGCCTGGCTCTTATACTGCCTCACCATAGGCCAAAACAGCTTCTTTATTAACCAATAGTAGTAGCACATATTCACAGCATACAGAAAGACCATCTCACAGTAGCAGTGATAACTGGGAGAGAAGGAGGTTGTGTGGAGAGGCCAGAGGAGCCTCCTCAAATAGCATATGTTATATGACCACTCAGTCAGTACCTCTTAGGAATCTCAATGAATCCCCAAAACAAGGACAAGTCTGAGTTTTCTAACCTTTTAGTGGTGATGGGAAACTTCACAGATGTGATTTAGTTCAGTCTAATGAGTGTATATAAGATCATGGATACAGCTTCAGGCAGACATGGCCTGACTCAGGCTACTGGAACTGGCCTAAAGGAAAGGTCCACCCATGTTTGAACAATCCCAATACTGTGGGATGTCTTTCTATATGCTGTGAATATGTGTGGTTCTCATTGGGTAATAAATAAAGCTGTTTTGGCCTATTGCAAGGAAGCTTACAGCCAAGAGGGAAATCCAGAGAGAAGAAGGGCTGAGTCCAGGAGATGCCAACTCACTGCCGTAGGAGCAACAAGATGCCTCCAGACCAGTAATGCCACAGCCACATGTCAACGTATAGATTAACAGAAATGGGTTGAGTTAAGTTAAAGAGCTAGCTAGCAAGAAGCCTGATCGATAGGCCATAAAGTTTGTAAGTAAATCAAACTTCTGTGTGTTTACTTGGGACCAAGCAGTTGCTGGGATGCTGGTGGCAGAGATTCCTCTGACCATGGGGTTAAGCAGGACCAGAGAAACTTCCCAGCTACATCCCAAAGCTTGGAAAGGATGTAGCTGGGGTGACAATGTGTGTTCAAGTACAGCTCAGCATACAAAATAAAATTTTGTTACAAATGAAGGAAAACAAATAAAAAATTTAAATTTAGTATAAAGAAACAGAAAACATTTTTAAACTAATATTAACCTGTTGGTGGTTGAATTTAAGATTAAAGTCTTTGATTAGTCAAAGCTGAACTCTGTGAAGAGAATGAAAAATTCTCCAAAAGCAAAGAGGAAGAAATAGAACACAGCAGGCCTTCAGTTCACACTACAAGATTTGAAATAATTGTGGAAGCTGACATGTGCCTAGGTTCAGGAAGTTGGACCCTCACTTGGTCTGAAACACAAGTTAGAGGAGACTGGAATAAGATATAAAGTCATGGCTGAGGTGTGTCAGCAAAATGAAGCAACGTCATATTTAAACCTGGCTTGCATTGGACCAAGAAATTTACATTTCTGCTTGGCATCCATGGTAAGTGTCCACACCATCTCCCAACTGAGCATAGACTTCATCCATGGTGCCTCAAGAGGCATGAAGTTTATACTTCTCAATATTGCCTGGCAAGGGACAAAGCAAACCACTTTCCAAAAGGTTATTAAGAGATCGTCCCATAGACTCGATTCTCGCTTTTGCTGCGAGATTGTTCTAATCACAATTCCAAATTGCTGATGTGACACTTCAGTGTTTTCTTGCACAAATTTTGTAAGTCTTCTGTGTAACACACGAATATTTGTGAGGCTAGATTAGTACCTACAGCAAATACTTCAGAATCTCAGAGTGGATGTTCATGACAGACCTGTTACTAGTGAGGATTTATATCCATACCATAGAGTTATTACCCATCCCTAATATAAGTCCTAGTTATTTAAACCCAAAGCAACAAGTCTATAGGAACCCCCTCCACACACACACACACACACACACACACACACACACACACACACACACACACACACACGCATGCACGCATGCAACACATACACAGCCTAAAGCAGAAGGAGATTATTGGAGATATGTATGAAGGAAAAGGGAATGAGGACAGAGAATACAATATTTAAATCCAACCACTTTTTAGGTATAGTATTAATACATATTTCCACAGCTCATTCTCCAAATACTGTGCTCTGGAAATAGTTAAAAGTCCAGAATTTGTAAGAAGATACTGAACATTTTTAGTCCAGAAAGGAAATTTACAGCTAGAAATGTGGACATCACATACCTTCAGAGATGCCTTAGGAAGCTAAAGAAGCATGCCAGATGATGTCTTACCATTATTTAGGATATGAAGACACCTGTATTATCTGGAACCAGATTCAACTGTGCAAATCACAACTGGAAAATGATTTGTTAGTGCTCAGAGAAAGCTTAGCTTGGGCTAGTAGAAAAGTATTATTCCAGGAAGTGAAAGCTGTGGAGTGAAACCAGAGTCACTGAATTAGAGTACTTTGGGAAATTACCCAGGAATCTGTTCGCCTGGTAATTCCAAGCACACAAGTGCTTTGACAATGATTATTCTTTGTAAATCATATTGCCCTCTCGTGGTCACATGTGGGAATAACCAGTAGTTTCCAGATTTTACATAGTCAAATTAGAGTAATAATTGGCCAGTGACAAAAAAATTAAATGTTGCAATATTCAGTTTTCAACTTATAGGATTAAGTGGCACTCACTCTTACATGGGAGTGTCTTTTCCATAGAGAACAATATTATGAGGTAGGTTGAAAATATGACATTTTTCAAATTAAAGCAACAGCCATCATCTGTGATATAGCACAAACTGTATCAGAGACAAATAAAAGGCAACTCAGATTAAGGATTTACAGATTAATTTTAAGTTTCACAGTGGATATGTTTTAGTCTGTGTGGATATAACAGTGCCATATATTTTCTGAAAGTTTGAAGGTTCTTTTCAAATACCAAGATGAAACTCATTTTTTAATGAGCTCTTCACCTTAAAAACTACAGAAAGGATATATATATCACATTAGAAACCTTCCCATTCATTTCTTAAGAATTAAAGCTTTAAGCAGTGACAGGAACGTAAATCCACAGAATAGAACTCTGATGTGGGGGAATTTTCTGATAAGGGACCCCAGTTGGGAACAACGAAAGGAAAAATAAAAATGAAGGAAGAGAAGGAGCAAGGGTAAGAACAGTTTCTGTTCCCTGATTCACTGTAACCACAGAAGACCAGAAAGAGCAGCTTGGCTTGTAGATTGAAGGAGTGGTAGAAGTGTGCTGCTGGGAGCTGAGAGCCAGTGTGAGACAAGCAGGAGCCCCACAAGCACCATGCTACCTCTTTGAATATGTACTCATACCAAGAAAACCTGTGGCCTACCAAGTCCCCAGTGCCGGAGTGAGAAAGCTGCCGAATCCAACAGTCTTGTGATCTGATCCACGTGGGGCCACATAGAGATACTGAGTGCTGCCTGAGAGTCTAAAATCAACTGCGAGCAAGGGGAGCTGGGCAAACACCAGCTCAGGACCAAGTGCTTGAGCTAATCCCTGAGCACACAAGAGTGTGAATGGCTGTGTTCTAAAACACATGGAAACTTGGCTAGGGACCGGGAGTAAACTTTCAAATGTCATGTCGAGAAGAGACTACTTGAAGACAATGTCCTGATAATATTGTTCACTTTCTATTTATAGAGTTCGTAAGGGAAAGACATTATCTTTCTATAAGAAAAGAAATTAGAAGATTAGGAAATATAAGGACCATTCTTCTCATACCACCAAGAGAAATGTGTTCTTATGAGACAATGAAGTCAATTATAATAATAAATTTAAATGACCAAAGTTAAAATATGAAACTAAATACAGAAGAAGTCTGGGTCTTTAAACTGTCTTTCCCAATAAGCTGCTGTTTTCCAAGCAAAACCCTCTTTGCAGCAAGCAATCCACTTTGGTAACAGCTTGAATGAGAGGATCAATTTTCTATCCAAAGCAATTTTGTATTTGTCCTTACATAAACGCACACTATTTATCAAAAACAATAGTTCTAAGCAATTTATGTACTGCATAAGAGCAGCCTTATGCTATGTTTTTTAAAATAGATTTTTTTGTTCTCATTCTAGAATGCCTTGAAATAAATCTGAAAAGAAACTAACACACTCGAGAAGTTCCAGAGAATATTTTACAAAAGCCAGTAAGACTTATTTACAGAAGTTCAGCTGAGTAACAAGGCATGTGTGATTTTCCAGCACTGGCACCCATTCCAGGCCATTAGATACAGTACACAGCCAAAGTTTGAGTGCAAACAATCCAAGATATGCTACAGAAAAAAAGGATACCAAATGTGATAACAAATGCCTTCTATAAAAACAAGACTTACTCATAAAAGACATTCTTTGCGGACAGATAACTCACAACGACAGCTTGTGAATTCTGGGATTCTTTAGGCTCTTTTTCTGATGCCTTTATTTCTGGGCCTGCTGCCTTTATTTCTGGGCCAAGTTTATAATGTTAACTGATCATCACCATAAGATGGTCAAGGATACAATTCAAAGCAGAACTAGAGCTTGGAATTGACAATGACATGTGATAAAGAAAAATAGTATACCTAGAGGTGTACAGACAAGAAAAGAAATATCAAATGGTAAAGATAATCCAGCAAAACACATGGTTCCATAGTCAACTTTGCAGACTTATTCTTCTACCAAAGTTTCTGAACTTCACATAGTTTCAAAATGCAGCCATTAATCTACTTGTAGGTTTGCTTATGCAGGCCTGCAAACATCTCATTGTCTTTGTCAATTTGTCTGTAGGTAGGTGACATTGCTCTTGAGCAGTAATCAATTGATGTCTCTGTGCCATCTGGCATGCTGTTGCCAAGCACAGCTGCAATGCTGTGAGACGAAGGGAGCGCGGCAAGAGGCAAGGTTCGTGTTCATCACCGTATAACAGTTCTGACTACACAGTCAATAGGTCCTTCCTCTGCCAGACCAGTCCCACGAACTGCTTCATCTTGATAAGTGATGCAACACCCGGGCAACTCACTGTAAAAATGGTGAAAATGATTTATTTCAATGAATTTTGAAAACACTGCTAGCTACACAACGAGTTTAGCAGTAAGACTACGTTTCATGTTGATAAATATAAACATGTCACTAATGCCTGTATCATTGTATCAAAAAACCTTATTGAAAATTTTAAGTTCACATTTGCTCCTCTTTTCTCTGGTATTGCATATATTTCTCCTTAATTCACACACACCTATCAGTATAGGCCTAAAAAGTTTATCACTATATTCCTTAGAGGAAAATCCAGTGTGATTAATAATTATGTCTAGGAAATTAGGAGTGTCATAGAGAAATATAGTTTGTACCACATGAAATATAGCATTCAATGAAAACCAAATCTTACCAAAATAATTTTCAGAACATTACTGATACTTAGATTTCAAAATACTATAAACAATCTCCTCTTCTTGAATGCGGTGAATTTTACAAAAAATTGTTCAAACCAAAAGAAATTAAGGTACTCTCTGCAGTTATAATGACCGATGAATGTGTGCCAGAATACTCCACAAAGTATTGTTACTCTGCTCCTGACAGCCACAATCAGCATAACCCACCTTAAAGACCTATGTGATGAGTTCAATACTATCTTTCTGAATTTATTATCCCAGATCTGTTATTGCTTTCCTGAGACAAAAGGTTTATGTCTACCCTTCAAATGAATTGTTCTGAGAGTATGCAGTTGGAATAAAAGTGGTTTAGAGAGCCCAATGGAGAAAGGTGCTGACAAAACCCCATGGTAGGTAACTAGCTACAGCAGATGAATAGTTTAAAAAGACATCTCCAGCTATGAGAAACACTTCTGAACTGTTCATTTTCTACTTTAACAACCACAAAAACTGTAAGAGGAAGGGGGACCCTACACATTTAACACTTTGAAGGAAAATGTTTGACATGTTTTATGCATTCATTAATCTTGCAAGATGCTTCCAGATTTTTCTATTATTTATCTAACAAGTTCCAAGACACTTGCACAGTGCTAAAAATGAAAAGATAAACATCGGCATGGTCTTCTTCCTAGTCTAACATGGAGAATAGCATAAGAAACTCAAGCTTTTGCTAAGTTGCATGTCCTTCTCTCTGTTCTCCAGCTACTTCCCATGCCTTAATCACATAATTTAACGGTAAGAACCTTGGACAAGTTTCACTTGCAATGCTGATGTTAAGTGACTTTGTTGAAACATATGAAAAACAGACACATGAGTAATTATATAATCACCTAATTTTCTATCAGTGCTTCAGTCTTTCATCTTGTCTATTGCTATATCCATGTAACATATCTTAATAGCTTATAAATATAAGTGAGCAGAATTACCAGCCATAGGGTTCTCTGAAGCACACATTGCCAGTTTGTGACAATAATGACCAGGCTCCTGTTCTGATTTGTTCCCATCTCTGTGGCAGCAGATCAAAATGAAGGTTTCCAAAGCAGGGACCACAAATGCAATGATATGTGTGAGCATGCTCAATCCAGACATAATGGAGCTAAGGAGGAAAGACCTGATACAGCAGTATTTTCTTTCTCTTTCCTTCTACCTACTAATGTGGAATTTGACTTGTTTTTGTTTCTTTAGCTCCTGGATGTGCAGAACCTCCTTTTAAAATGTTTTTATTATTACTGTGAGAATTTCATACAATGCACTTTTATCATGTTTACTTCTCTTTCCCAATCCCTCTCAGATTCATTCCCACACCCCTACCCATCCAACAACCTCTCTCCTCTCTCTCTCTCTCTCTCTCTCTCTCTCTCTCTCTCTTTCTCTATCTTTCTCTCACTCTTTCCCTCCCTCCCTTGAGAAAATCCATTAACTGTATTTTGTGTGGCTTAAATAATCTTGGCTGTGTGCCTGCACCGGAGAGTGATCTAATAACTAGAACTCAGACCCTTAAAGCAAACTGAACCTCCCTCTCCCAGCAACTATCAATTACTACTAGCTCCTCAGCTGTGGGACTGACTTCATGCCCACTTTTCCCACTCCACGACAGGATGTTGCCTGGTTTGAGCTTGCACATTTTGTAATGCATGCATACAAGTCATAATTTCTGTGAGTTCATATGTGCATCTGTGCTGTGGTATATAGAAGACAGTTTTCTTGAACTCCTCCTCTACCTCTGGCTCTTACAGTCTTTCTGCCCCCCTCTTTCACCACAATTCCTGAACTTTGGAAGGAGGGCTATGACATAAATGGCCCTTTTAGTCATCTACAGTTCCTTATCTGTGTGCTTTTTCCAGTTGTGGGTCTCTGTGTTAAGAAAAATCTACTGCAGATACCAGCTTCTCTGATGAGGTTTGAGAGATGAATTATCTACTGGTGTAATGATATGTCACTGGGAGTTGTCTTCATACTATGTTCATTTAGCAGAATAACTGTATTAGGTTCTTTTTAAGGGTTTATGGCCTATTTAACCATAAGTTTTTGCCTCATATGATCATACCAAACATGGGTTCCATCTCACGGAGTGGGCCTTAAAAATCCAATCAAGTTATTCTTAGAATATTAATTCCAGCCGGGCGGTGGTGGCGCACGCCTTTAATCCCAGCACTCGGGAGGCAGAGCCAGGCGGATCTCTGTGAGTTCGAGGCCAGCCTGGACTACCAAGTGAGTTCCAGGAGAGGCGCAAAGCTACACAGAGAAACCCTGTCTCGAAAAACCAAAAAAAAAAAAAAAAAAAAAAAAGAATATTAATTCCACTGTTGCATCATTGGTCAAATCTTATCAGGAGAGTTATTATAGCTCACAGGGTTCACAGATGGGTAGGAATAATGATTATTTTTCTCCTCCAGTAGCATGTGTCACATCATCCAGCACTATGATAGCTAGCCACTATAAAGCTTCTAGGTCAGTATGCCCTTGATTTTTCACGTATTTTTGTCTCAAATGTGTGATATCTTTAGCAACAGGGTTGTATTCTCAAGTTCTAGAGGGTAATAAAGAACAAAGCAATAGCCTGCGATATTAGTGGTCTATAGGACTCCATTGGCTAACAACCCAAAAAGAGGTAACCCATTCCTAGTACCACAGGTATTATTTGATAGAATGTAGTGTGGTGTCTAGGTAGAGAATTATCCCCCTCTTCTAGTTGAACTCTATTGAAAATATTTATATATGTACACATTTTAGGAAGCTTCTACAGTAAGTTTCCACATGGCTCTTTCAAAAGGCTTTTAATGTTAGTTATCAATCTCCACCTTGCCTTCTTTACTCTCCCCTCCTATGAATTCCACTATTGCACCAGTGAGCATGTCTTATCAGGAGAGTTATTATAGCTCACAGGGTTCATGGCTGGGTAAGATTAATGATTATTTTTCTCCTGCAGTAGCATGCATGACATCATCAAGCACTATGAAAGCTAGCAAGGAGCGATTGCTTCAGTCTATTTCCCCTTTGCCTTTCCTCCCTCCAGCCCCTTCCAAGTCACCCCAACCCCTTTACACCTGCTACATTCCCCACAACTCTAAAATTGATAGCCTCTTCTCTGATTATTAACGCTGTATCTACAAATATATACATATAGTCTGTTGAGTCCATTTTTTTTTTTGCTATATGTGAGTATATGGTTTCAACCTCTTGTGTTGGACAATCAGTTATGGGCTCATCCCTGGAAGTTGTTAACTCATCATCTTGCAGAAGTCATCAATTGTCTGTAGCTCTTTTGTCTAGAGGTGGATCCCATGAAGAAAAGAATCCCTTCCTCATTAGAATAGCTATTGATATTGCCATTGTTTAGATCTTGTTCATGAAGCCATTTCTCTGAAGACTGCTTCACATCAGACTTTCTGGTACTTTGGACCTTACACTCTTTCTACCAACACTACCCTGAGGTGTAGATGCAGGAGCTATGCTGTAGATGTATCCATTGACCATCCTCCATTTTGTAACTTGTTTGCTTGATGTAAATTGTTTGCTTTCTTATATTGAATGTTCTTTGTATATTCTAAATAGTAATCCTGCATCCAATGTATAACTAGAAAAGACATTTTTTCGGGCCGGGCAGTGGTGGCACACACCTTTAATCCCAGCACTCGGGAGGCAGAGGTAAATGGATCTCTGTGAGTTCAAGGCCAGCCTATGCTACAAAGCAAGTTCCAAGAAAGACACAAAGCTACACAGAGAAACCATGTCTTGAAAAACCAAAAAAAAAAAAAAAAAAAGATATTTTTCCCATTCTGTAGGCTGTCTCTTTCTTTGAATGATGGTGTTCTTTACTGTATAGAAGCTTTTTAGCTTCATTGGTCCCATGTATCAATTTTTGGTCTTAATGCCTGTGTTGAGAGATGCTGTTCAGAAAGTGCTCTCTAACACCTGTAAGTTAAAGTGCATTTCCAACTTTCTTCCCTCTCAGATTCAGGATATCAGATCTGGTGTTATCATTCTTATTTCATTTGGAATTGAGCTTTCTTTCTTTTTTTTCACTTTTCTCTTATGTTTGCGGTTATAATATAACATAATTTTTACCTTACCTCTTCTCCCTCCTAACCTGCCCATATACTCCTCCTTGCTCTCCTTTTAAATTCATTGTCTATTTACTGATAATTTATGCATATGTTTTTATATGTAAACATATATATTAATAAATACAACCTGATCATTCTGTATAAAGTTACTTGTTTGTATGTTTTCAGGGCTGACCACTTTGTGTTGGATAACCAGTTGATATGCTCTTACTCAAGAAAGACTATATCTTCCACAACATGTTTCCCATTCTGAGAATTCTTTAGTGGCTTGTAGTAGAAGCCTCAAGGTTTTTCTCCCTTTGGTGTATTTATTACAGCTGTCCTTGTTCAGCTCATGCTTAAGCAATCATGACTTTATGGGTGAAACCTGTAGTTTCTGATGTTACTAGGAGACAGTCTCAGAGCAAACTCCCTGACTTTCTGGGTTCTGCAATCTCTCAGTCCCTTTCCTACAATGTTTGCTGAGTCTTACATGTTGAGTGTTTTGTAGATAATCCTTCAAGACTGGTGCCAGAAATCTGCA